ATGAATTCCACATATAAATTTTGCTCGCTAAATTGAAATATCCTTCATATTCGACCGTGCTCATGATATCGTTAACAAACTGGCCGCCTACTCCGTCAGTGGAAAAACTATGGAACTGATGGTGCCTTCTCGGCAGAGGCTGAAAATCATATAAATATTTCTTAAAGTTTAAGCAATTTAGACCGTAATCATGGTTATGATTAACGCTTAAGTAAATGTGTTAAGATTTATTAATTTAATTTACTTAAATTTAATATTTACAAATGCTTATTTTGACATAAGCGGATAGATACAATTATGTTAATTAATAAATAAGAAATTAAAATTTATAACTAACGGTAGTTTTTGCTGGTGATAGGAGAGAGTAATTTGAAGATAAATAGCCTCTGTTATCCACTTGTCCTGCTATATATGTGCAAATTACTTACAGAATCGTAACGCTGTTCCTCATACAAAATATCCGGTTCGGTGTTAATAACTGTACCAACAGCTATCAGATCTGATTTAAGTTGTAGGTCGTGACATTTAAACCATCTAGCGAGATCGATAAATGATGACACCCGCGGCGGATATTGTTCCGGCATAACGTTTTGTGCCACTCGTCCATTCCTCATCTGAAGAACACCACCTAAAGCTGCAAAATCAGGCATAGAAGATAATACAAACATTTTTTTATTTATTCTTTTAATCGATTATAACTACAATAAATGCTTGTTACCAACAGTACGATCCTCTTCATAGAAGTGTCTGTGGAGAATGCTTTGAATTATTGTTATAATATCAACAATGGACTCGCGACCCTTGGCGCGCACTCTGAGAACATTGCCCTGCTTGCCCTCGCTGATAAAAAAATTGCCCATAAGGGAGCACATCATTTGGTCGGGTCTAGTTAACATTTCTGTCCTTGTCTGTCCGTTACTTGCGTCTGCGAAAACAATGCGACTCCCATTGTTGATAAAAGCAGGTGCTCTATACATCGCATCCATAATGAGCTACAACAGTGGTCGGGTTTTTGACAAATAAACGTAAAAAGATAAGATTTTTATTAAAGCAAGTATTAACAAATCATATACTATCATAGAATTAAAACAACGATAGTAGATAACAATAAATGAATTAATATAATGCACAGTTTATCGCACAATTTACTATCTCTCTTTATTCTGCCAGTACAATAGTATTTAAAAAATTATATTATCATACTTTTGTGCATAAAAGTATTTATAAGACATACGTACGTGTCCGTTATAAGGCGTATGGTTTTACTGCGTAACCAGACCCGATGATGAAAGAATCGTAGCCAGCTGTTAATAACTTCTCACATCTTTTCCCAATATTCCAAGTTGCTTTATTAGATCGCGGGGTCGGTAATGTTTATATAATCACCGACATGTATTATTGACGGACGGCCGTTTAAACCTGTATTTTAAGGAGAAAATCGTTTTCTTAGTGAAATATTACGTATCTTTCTTAGATTTTTCTTACCTATTCCGGTAAGATCGAAAGGTTTTCTGGTTAGACAGGGGCAGGCACTTATATCGACATTTACCTCGCGGAAAGCGGAACGCATTCCATTCTGCAGAACTATTATTACATAGTAGGTATGTGATAGGGGCATGAAATATATTATATATATATATATA